TTGGAGGGAGGATGATGCTAGTCATCTAGTGGGTAAAGGCCAGGGATGCTGCTAAAGATCCTACAATGTACAGAACAAGTCTCCACCCTACCCTCACAGATGACAAAGGAATATTCCACCCCAAATGTTAATAGCCTTGAGGCTGAGAAATTCTAGTCCAGATATGTATATTCTCTGGATGTGCAGAACTCAGAAGGCTTCAGAATGGTGACAAAATGAGGGGTGATGCTGAGTCTGGAGTTATAAATAATTGGTTAATTTATACAATTTACTCTCCATCCAAAATAGCTGTCTTCCTCATGACAGCGATATATAAAATACCACATATATGGTAGTACACTACATACCAAAAATGGATATACTTTCTGGTTTTGCACAAAGATTCATTTTTAATACTCTTTTAAATCAGATGGGCATGTTTTGGGGATCCCTGGTGGGTAAACAAGGTTTTAAACTCTCAAAGGAGATCAGCATTAAGAAATTTAACAACCATAGTGAATTAATACTCAGCCACAGTTTATGATTCCTGTGACAGCCTTGTAGTCAGAAGAGGCAGGGGCTCTTGAGCCTGCTTGCAGCTCCTAGAGACTGTTAGTCAGCCAGTTGCTCCACAAGAGCATGCCAGCTTATCAGCTTAAGCAGCTTCAGTTGTAATATGGACAAGAGGTTGGTCACTGAGTTTAAAAGCCAAAGAAAAAGACTATATGAGAGAGTGTGAAAATTTAAAAATAAAATCCTTTTGGATATCTTTCTACAAAGAAGCAGACAGCTTGACTGATGTACCTTTGCCTCCTGTTGTCCCAAATCAAACATTGTCAGTAGTGCCTTATGTATCTCAGTAAAACCATGCCCATTCGTTGGTAACTATGGGAAAGACTACTATTTTTGGTGAGCTTGGGGAATAGTAATAAGAAGGAGAGGTCAAGACAGAGAATATTTTAATTTTTCTCCCCAGGAATATCCTGTATATTTCTCATGCTACATTAAGATCATAGTTTAGTGACCTTTTGGCATGGCGATAACTGTGTTTTCCACGTATTTACTTCTGATTAAAGGCAGAGGACAGCTAACCAGTGAGTGAAGAACTACTGGGCCAGGAAGGTGATCCTGCTGTTTGGTGTTTTCTTTCCCCCTGGAAGTGTCTGTTGATTCTAGAAGGGGGCTGAGATCCTAGAAGGTTGGATGGAATTTTTGACAGCCTTAAAGAGCTAAGGGCAGGAATTATCATTAACAACCTATCAAGTGGGGGCTCTGATGACACCCTATTCACTTTGGGCTGGGACTGTTAAGGGCTGCATCCTAGGAGTAATGGTCAACCTGGAGAAGATAGGTCCTCAAAGGGACTTAAGTTCAAACTTGAATATCTCAATTTATGTAGTCAGAATAAAGTGATCATGAATGGCAGCTAGGGGCCTTGCAGAAGCAAATGGAAATAATTTTTGGAAAAGATGACATCATGATATCAACCTAGGCTTAAAATTGTTTTTATAAATAATTTTGCAGATACGATGTTTGACAACCAATAAAAAATAACCAGACATTACAATGCAACATGAAAACAATTAAGAAAAAAAAATAGAACAGGCACATAGGGGCTTCAGATATTGTAGTCATCAAAATAAACATTAAAATAACTACAATTTTACTTTTATGTTGAAGAGTTTAAAAGAGAAGAATTAGAATACTGCAGAAAACTAGAAATTATAAATAAGATCTAAATGGATATTCTAGAAATGAAAAATACAATAAGAGAAATTAAGAGCTCAGTGGATGGGTTTAAGAGATTTGTCAGAGCTGAGGAAAGAACTGTGAATCAGAAGGTAGGTCAATATCTATAATGAAGCACAGAGAGACAAAAGGAGGGAAAATATTGAATACAAAAGAGACAGGAAGACACACAGGGGATACAGTGATAATACCTAACATACAGTCCATAGGAATTCAAAAAGGAGAAGAGGGGAAGAATGAGAGCAGAGATAATATTTGATGAGATAATGACTGAGAACCTTCTGAAATTGACAAAGAACATCAAGGAAGAGGGAGAGAGGCCCTGGGAACACTAAGCAGGCTAAATAGAAATAAATGTTTACTTTGGCACATCGTAGTTCAACTGTAGAAAACCAAAGAAAATTATCTTTAAAGTAGACCAAAATTACCTTCAAAGAAATAGCAATTAGACTGAGAGCTGATTTCCAAATAGTAGTAATGCTCACCAGAAGACAATGGAATGCTTTCAATGTACAGAAATAAAATAACAGCCAACTTAGAATTATATACTCAGTGAATATATACTTTGAGAATGAAAATGAAAAGAAAATATTTTCAGACAAATGAATGCTTAGAGATTTCTTTAGAGCAGATATTGCACTAAATAATTAAAGAGTGTTCTTCAGGAAGTAGGAAAAAATGATCCCAGACCAAGGATAAAGGAAGGAATGAAGAATAAGAAAATGGAAAATGATGTGGACACATCTAAATAGATAGCTACTATATACAAAAACAATAATAATATCTTCATGGGCTTAAAGTATATATCGAATAAAATTGATGATAATATATAACTTGAGAAGAGAATAAATGGAGTTAAAATGTTTTAATATCCTTGATTAGTCAAGATTGCAAGTTGTAATCACTAGTTAAACACTAAAAGAATAGTGACAGAACACATAATTTCCAAGAAAATAGAGGGGAAAATGGGATCATAAAAATAATCCAGTGAAGAAAGGGTGGTCTTTTCATAAATGAACTTGGACAAATGATTGTCCATATGAATAAAAAAGAAACCTAGAAACTTGACTCTTGCATAAAAATCAATTCCAGGCAGATTGTACTCTAAATGTGAAAGGAGAAACAATAACATTTCTAGAAGATAGTTTGGGAGAATGACTTCATGATCTCAGGGTAGGTGAAGACTTTTTAAACAGACAGCAGGACAACCAAACGTTTGACAAAAGAAAAGAAAACGAAAGAAAGGAAGAAGAAGAGGAAGAAAGGAAAAAGAAAAAAAGAGAAAAGAGAAAAATATTGACAAGGTTTGGTTGCACTGGAATTAGAGACTTCCTTCATTCAAATAAATCATTAAGAGAGTGAAAAGGCCACCTTTCATTTCAGGAGAAGGTATTTGCAACGCAACAATCAAGGAAGGTTCATATCTAGATTTAAAGAATTCCTACAATCAATACTAAGAAGAAACCATCCAATAGAATCAATTCAATAGAAAACAAGGGACTTGAACAGACATATAAAAAAAAGGATATTCAAAATGCCAATAAATAAATGAAAATGTACTTAATAACATTAGTCACCAGAACTGCAAGGTTCTGATTTCCTGCAAGTGCAGGATATGTTTTATTTCTTTGCTTTCATGGTGGTTATGTGGGGGAATCTCTATAAGAAGTGCTTGAGCTGTACTTTTTCATTTCTTGCATGTTTTACAGTTAAAAACAAGGTAAATAAACCAAACAATGACCTAGTATCATACTGACAGCAGACAGAATACTGGTCCTAAGATTTTAACTGAGATTTTCCATGGTAGGTTCACTCCCGATTTATAGCTTACATACTGCATTCATAGGGTTTATAGCTTACATACTGCATTCATTCATACTGCATTCATTACTGTAGTGATAAAATGTCAAAACGAGAAGATGGAAATATGTCCCACTTTTTGATGCCTATTCAATTTTGGCCAGTTTCCAATTCCTTGGAGATTTGAGAGTTTTACAGACATTCATCATTACAGGTCAGTTTTGATTTAAAAACTTGACTTGAGGGATCTTGAAAAATGTATACTTTGTGGGAGAACTAAGCTATGTATATTTGTAGAATAGGATTAGGACTGGTATTGTTTGTGGGTACCACAAACAAAAGGAAATCAGAGCAGACATTGTGTCCTCAGAGATATTTGCAAGAATTCTTTTAAGTTACTGTAACCAAAGTGCAAGGTGGGTTTACTTACTTATTGTTAATATATCACAAAACGAATCCTATGTTCTAGTATCAAGCTTTGCAGCTACTGCATTTTTTTCAATACATATAGTCTGTATCATTTAAGTGCTGATAATTGTAACGAAAAGTTTTTACAAGAAAGGCTAGAGTTGTGAGAATTGTATCCTGGTGACGAGAGCCAATTGTCCTGTTGGAGAATGGTATCAGGTTGTCTTGGCATGTGAAAGTACTCTGGTCATCTAAATTGCTACCATAAATCCAAAACACAATGTATTTAACTTAAAATTGATAATGGCAGGTTGGTTCTGCTGACACGTTAGTAGTCATCCCAGACCTTTTAAATGCAAATTTTATGTGCAGCTTTAATACAATACATATTGAGCATCCAGCATGTGGACTTGAATGTGTTAGTGCTGGAAAATTCAGCCTCTGTGAACATAACACATGTGAAGAAATATGCACAGGCCCACATACTGTGACCATGGGTTGAAGTTTCTCACCTGTGCTCTGCTCAGCACTCTCCATACTCTGTTCTAATCCTCACAGTGAATGACCTGCAAGATGGTCATTGTTATTACATTTTTAGAGAAAAGGATACTGAGGCTCAGAGAGCTTAAGTTACATCTCCAAGACCACAGAACGAAGTGACAATGACCGTGGAAAAGCAAAATATAGTTTTACCCCGTGGTTCCCAGGTATATGACAAATATCTTGCTTTTTGGCTTGTACAACTGTGACTAAACTGCACATTTGGAAGACTGTCTATTTGTGTATCAATAAGGATATAATGTTTACCCTTCTAAATGAAAGTAAAGGCTAAATCTTCACTGTTCCAAAATGGGGAATGATTTGACCACCACTTGCACAGAAAATAAATGTTTCCCAAGTAAGAGAGTCAAGTAGTGTAGTGAGTTCTGTGACTGGATGAGGAAGGGCCTGCTTCCTAGTGGCATTTTCCTTTGAAGTGCTGGCACAGGGGAACTTGATAGAGAGATGGAATGGTGCGGAGCTGTGTGGGGGTGAATGAGATGCAGTGTGCGCCCAGCTCCTACCTCATGATTGATTTTCATTGTCTCTTCCGTGTGGTAGAGAAGGAGCTTCTCTCCAGAAGTAGTCAGGTTAACGTACACCTGGAGACAGGGGTACTGAGAGAGTTTCCAGCAGTCCGGACCACAGCTGAAGGAGCAGTTAAATGTTTCCGTGATGGATGCATTCAGCAAGGTGCACTGAGCCTCCTCGGTCCACACACTACACAGAGAGGAGGAGAATGAGCACAGGCCCAAATGCCAAGGGCAAAGAAGGCGTAATCAGAGGGGAACATTTGTCAGCTCCTTGACCTGAAGAACCTTCAAGATCTACAATACAACCTATTTGTTAATGTGTATGTTTTTAAATAGAGCAGAGCTTTAGGCTAACTATAATATAAACACAGACAAACTTTGCCTGGCATCTGAGAACTTTGCCAATGATTTCCATCAGATATAGTATTGATTTAAGTTAGATATTTTTCTTTATCAAATTCACTGGTAAGCATAAGGCAGCATCTTTTTACATCACAACCTGTACTCACCCTGCATTTCTGCATTTTAAGCTGCTTCCTGCCATGCCTTGGTCCTCACCTCGCAATGTCTGCCCAGTTTCTAGGCAGCGAAGGGTAAGGGAGAAGGGGAGGAGAGATGGTGAAAGGGTGGAGGGGCTTGAGGTCCAATGTGACAGATGAAAGGACAGTGATGTATTTCTTTAAGGTCTTTCTAATAAGGGAGGAAAGATAACTCCACCTTTTGATTATACCAAGAGCAATCACTTATTGCATCCCCCTTCACCCTAACTGGTGCTTTACATACATTGTCTTCTTTGTTCTCCCAATAACCCTATAGGTTAGGTATTAATTCCTTTTAAAGCTGAGTGAATTGACAGTCAGAGAAATCAAATACATGCAAGGACACACAGCTAATAAGTGATGGACACTGTGATTCCATCCAGTCCTCTATTTCTCTACTGCCCAGGCTTGTTCCATGGTGCTGCCCTTCTTCCCCACATACAGTGGAAAAGAGGCGCTTGTTATATGCAGATTAATGGGTTCTTATCAGTGCCCTGGGACCTCTCAATTAGAAAGATTAAACAAACAAACAAACCCTCCAGCTGCCCATTGGTCAGCTTTTCATTCTAAAACATTTATAATTTTATGATGAAGGGTAATATTTGTGATTAGGAAGTAACACACCCAGAATCAATGTTTTGCTTCTGGATATATGCTGATTACCAGAGTGATCAGAAAACATTATTTGCAGATTAATAGCCCTTCTTTTTGCTGGACATGTGTTGACAGGGCACCCTTTCCATGTCCAGTTTCATACCAGAGCCAGGATACTAGCACTGACCCCCTCTGGTGTGGCAGTTTGTATTTTCCTGGGACATGGGTGGTCAGATTTTGCTTATACAAGGAGGAAAAAAGTCTTAGATGGTTCTAAGCAGATGTGAAGATCTGAAAGCGGTTTTGGAGTCAGTGAACTCTTGGGGCCTGAGGCATCAGAGCTTTCACTGAGAAGCAGCACAGCTGAAGGCATCAGAGAAACAGAGCAGAGCAGCCACAAATGGGAAAGATGATGCCTTAATTTTAGCAGATTACTGTGTTTCAACTAGAGTTTCCTTCTAAAATGAAAGTATTAATTTAGGTGGGGAAATGAATGCCACAAAAGGGTTTGATTCTCTTTTGGATTGAAACCTCAATTTTTCATTTTAAAGGGCCTCGTTTCTTTAAACTGAAGCACTCTGAGACCTTCCCCCTTATTTATAGCGATGCTGGGCTTTCCTGTGCTCAAAGTGCCCAATTTACGGACAACAGTTAGCTAGAGATGCTGTGGAGGTTTATCATGTGGCTTACTCAGGAGGAATGCACTTGACAACTCAGTACTCAATTGCCTCTCTATCTATTCAGTAAACCTAGGGCAAATATTTAAATAAGAGGGGTTCAAAATCTTTAATTTAAAAAGTTAGGGCATAGTAGTGTTTTTCAACCTATTAGAATCACCTGGGGAAATTTAAAAGATACTGGTGAATGGGTCCCACTCCAGACCTACTAAATCTGACCCTGTGGAATGATTGTGGTGGGGCCTGGATGTCAGTATTCTTAAAAGTTTCTCAGGAAGTTGAAATGTGCAGTTGAGAACCACTAATATGTGGGGTGATGGAAGAGTGGGGTGTGGTGGAAAGGAATGCAGGTGGAGAATGGACAGAGGTGTGAAGAGGCAAGAATAGGGATTCTGGAATTAACAGGATGTGGTTTTGAATCTTGGCTCTGCCGAACACTAAAGCTGTATGACACTGGGCAAATTATATCTATCTTGAGCCTCAGTTTTGCCATTTTTATGAGTATATTCATACTTATAGAATAGTTATGGGAATTAAAAAAGTAATGTATGGTGAGTCCCTGGCACATAGTAAGCAGTTTATACATAGAACTATTTTTATCATTATTGTTAGATAACATTATTGACAAATAGTATGTGCCAGGCACTGCTCAAAGTTCTTTTTAGGAAAGAAGGTAAGGAAGAGGACCTCAAGATTGATAAGCTGTGTGGGAGGAGGGAGAAGGGAGACAAAAGACAGACCCAAGCACCCAATGGCTTTACCTCTGCATGTATGAGCGCAGGAGTGTGATTCCCAGCAGAAAGTACATCATGATGGAGCACACCATCATGGCCAGTCCCAGGAGAATGGCCCGGTCCTCTCCTGCTTTCAGTGCTGTGACAGTTTTCCTTTTGTCCAGGAGGTCATGGTCCCTGATTTTTTGGTAAATGTTTCTGAGGTTGAACATAATACAGTTTTACTTGAAGTCCACAGTTAATCAGCACACCCCTAAAGAGTAAGTTGCTGCTCAGGCCTTCCTAAGGCAGAGATGCTGAGACGGGTCCTCCAAATCCGCCTGAGTGCAATTGGATCCCAGCATGTGACTATTGCTTTCCAACACACACGTGCGCGCGCGCGCGCGCGCGCGCACACACACACACACACACACACACACACACACACACACACACACACACACACACACACACACACACACACCAACCCTGAGCAGAAACAAATCTCCCTTCTTTCCTTGGGACCCATATCTAGCAGTCAATACTTTTGCCTTTTCTCTAAGTCTGAAGAAAGAAAGCAATCCCTTCAGCCCTTAAAATAATGTTTTGGGTTTGTTTCCTTTGCCAACCCCCAGCTGATCGTCATTGATCTTTCTGTACTCTCTGAATACCTAATGGAGCATTAATTCAAATAAATGGCAACATATATGAGGAATCTATCAACTTAATATCTTATTTCCCCTCGGTAATAATAGACAGAATTTATCCTGGTTAACATTTTTCTCAGGCTTAGGGTTGCTTAGGGCTCTGTTGACTTGAGACGTATAAGAAATGTGGAGATGTCCAGTGGTGACCCAGACTTCTTTTCCTGTACTGTAAACATTCGAGTGAGTTTACAAAAATGTCAGTCAAATCAAGGCCAGACTCCATAAGTTTGGATAGTTTTATTAGTATTTTTTAAAATGTTTGAGCAGCAACCTATGGAAAGAAAAAAACAGATTGGAATCAAACTGTCTCCTAGTTCAAAACCTGATTTCATGGCTTACTAGCTGTGTGATCTCTACAACTTCCTCAGCCTTTCTAATTCTCAGTTCCTTGCAAAGTGGAAATAATGTGTAACTACATTGTTATGGTTAAATGAGATGACATAAGTAGATTATCCAGGAGAATGACTGACATGAAGTATTTAATAAATGTTCCCATTTAAAAATGGTGTGGGGAATGCACCTATGGTCAGCTAATCTATGACAAAGGAAGCAATGATATACAACAGAGAAAAGACAGTCTTTTCAATAAGTGGTGCTGAGAAAACTGGACAGCTACATGTAAAAGAGTGAAATTAGATCACTCCCTAACACCATACACAAAAATAAACTCAAAATGGATTAGAGACCTAAATGTAAGACTGGACACTATAAAACTCTTAGAGGAAAACATAGGATTTCCTTGCTGTGATATAAATCACAGCAAGATATTTTTTGATCCATCTCCTAGAGTAATGGAAATAAAAACAAAAATAAATAAATGGGACCTAGTGAAACTTCAAAGCTTTGGCACAGCAAAGGAAACCATAAACAAGACGGAAAGACAACCCTCAGAATGGGAGAAAATATTTGCAAACGAATCAACGGACAAAGGATTAATCTCCAAAATATATGAACAGCTCATGCAGCTCAATATTAAAAAAAACAAACAAACAAATCCAAAAATGGGCAGAAGACCTAAATAGACATTTCTCCAAAGAAGACACACAGATGGCCAAGAAGCACATGAAAAGCTGCTCAACATCACTAATTATTAGAGAAATGCAAATCAAAACTACAGTGAGGGGCTTTCCTGGTGGCGCAGTGGTTGAGAGTCCGCCTGCCGATGCAGGGGACACGGGTTCGTGCCCTGGTCCGGGAGGATCCCACATTCCCACATGCCGCGGAGCGGCTGAGCCCGTGAGCCGTGGCCACTGAGCCTGTGCGTCCGGAGCCTGTGCTCCACAATGGGAGTGGCCACAACAGTGAGAGGCCTGCGTACCGCAAAAAAAACAAAACAAAAAGGTCCTCTAGAGATTGGGATTGACATATACTCATCAGAAAATCTACAAACAACAAATGCTGGAGAGGGTGTGGAGAAAAGGGAACCCTCTTGCACTGTTGGTGGGAATGTAAATTGATACAGCCACTATGGAGAACAGTATGGAGGTTCCTTAAAAAACTAAAAATAGAATTACCATATGATCCAGCAATCCCACTACTGGGCATATACCCACAGGAAACCATAATTCAAAAAGACACATGCACCCCAGTGTTCATTGCAGCACTGTTTACAATAGCCAGGTCATGGAAGCAACCTAAATGCCCATCGACAGACGAATGGATAAAGAAGATGTGGTGCATATATACAATGGAATACTATTGATTCATAAAAAGGAACGAAATTGGGTCATTTGTTGAGACGTGGATGGATCTAGAGACTGTCATACAGAGTGAAGTAAGTCAGAAAGAGAAAAACAAATATCGTATATTAACGCATGTATGTGGAACCTAGAAAAATGGTACAGATGAACTGGTTTGCAGGGCAGAAATAGAGACACAGATGTAGAGAACAAACGTATGGACACCAAACGGGGAAAGCAGCGGGGTGGGGGTGGTGGTGGGATGAATTGGGCGATTGGGATTGACATGTACACAATGATGTGTATAAAACTGATGACTAATAAGAACCTGTTGTATAAAAAAATAAATAAAATTCAAAAAAATAAAAATAAAAATGGTGTGGGGAGCTACACCTTTATGACACGGACATCAGAACATCCCCAAATTGCTGTTCTTCTCCAAAGAATTTCTAAAGGACAGAATGTCAAGGTAGTGAATAGTGTAGAAAGCTTATGAGTGGAGGGTTGGATTTGAAATAAGGTCTAGCAGAGAAGGCAGAAAAGAAGTGAGAAATTGCTGGGGGTGCTGGCTGGTTGAAGAGATATGTGAGAAATATGGGAAGGAGGCAATGCTCAAGGATTCTGGAAACACAGGCAACCAAGTAGCCATGGAGAAGGAAGCTTTGGATTGCACAGGTGTGGGAGTGGGGGAGTTGCTGGCTTTTAGGGCTTGGGGACAGAGAGGAGGACACATAGAGTGCTGAAAATGGAGAAAGAAGCTCTTATTCCATTTTTATTTTAAGCTTCAGACAAAAAGCCAACATACATGAGACAGACTTCAGATTTTCCTTTTAAATTTTCATCACTAGTCACTCGCGTTGCTTGAAAAAGAACTAGAATCCAGTGTGGAACTTTGCAGAGGAGAAAAGAGATGCCTGTTATTTGTATAATTGTGTGTATATTCAGGGATTCTATTCAGCTTCATGCTCCAGGATGGCCTTACCGGTGTTTATGGCTGGCATACATTCTGGGGCGCTGGTTCATTCTGGACTGGTTGTTAGATATTTTGATTCCCTATAGAAGTATGAGAACATGTATGTACTTAGTATATTTCCAAAAGGTTTTAAGGAAGACCATATGTTAATCTGGTTATTAGAATATAAAATTAATGGATTAGTTTATTATCATTTTACTATTATTTAAAAGTTCTCTTCATGAGGTAGTTTATATAAATCTTACTCTTTCCTTGAGGAGTGGGCCCTTTATAGTAGGAGAATCATAGCTAAATAGAGGACTTTGTTCCTCATCTTTTCATGACCGTGTCCTTCCTGCCTCTTTCCCACCAGCCCTCACTCATGGCCACTCATTCTCCGCATGGCCAGAAGCTCTGAGAGCCCACCTTTTTTATTACTCTCCAGCTCCCAAGCCTAGTGCCTCTGGACTAGCTAGCTGGCTGGCCAGCTTGCAGACTTTTGACTTCCTCAGGCTAGCCACCACCCATCCTCTAAGTTTCCCCATTCTTTTGTGAGATTTTCTTTGGAAAATGTAGGATTTATATCAAAGCTCTTAAACTTGATTCTCTATGAGCCTGAATGAAAAAAAAAAAAAAATCAATGCCCATTCAGTTAAAGCCAGACTTCGGAAGCAAGAAGAGACAGGCTGAGTCTGAGTGTCTTCAAAGGCCTGCTGTAAAATAATATTACTTTCCTGTTGTTATTTATCAAAATGTATTTAATTCTAATGGCTGCATTGAGATTTGGATTTCCTGCAGGTGGAAGGCAGCAAGGAGGGAGCAATAGTCTCAGCTCCAGAGTAGTAGGCTGTCACACTGCATCACTTACATCAGTCTATACCCATGAAAGAGATACAGTGTAATCAGTCAGTTATGTTACTAGAACAAGAAGAATACAAAAATGATTCAAATGGGTAATTTAGAAACAAATCACAATTTGGAAATGGTTAACAAATGTTCTTCACGTGCTCTGGGATGTGTAGAGAAGAGGGAAAATGATTGGTTTCCACGCAGGCTAAACACATCTGGGAAATCAGGATATTACTCAGCAAAATGAAAGTGGATGAGTGAGGTGGGACATACTCATGAAATTCATCAAAAATGAATTTATTGCTAATTGAATTAATGGATAAGTTAAGGAATGAATGAATAATTTGGAGGAATAAAGATTCACTTAAAGTCTACGAACCTATTTTGAATGTTGGTAACCTCTAGTTATTGTATGTGGCCCCTACCCAACAGGAAGACCAACATGAAAAAGAAATATCAACGTAGGGTAGTAAATTCAATGATGGAGCCATTCACAGCATGAGTATAGAAGAGGAGTAATTTTCCCAGCCTGAGGGAGCAGGGCAGGGAGCAAGGATTAAGGTTAGGGAAGGCATCCTGGAGGAGAAATGCCTTAAACAGAATCTTCAAGATTGAATCCAAGTTAACCACATGACACAGGGAATCAAGGGCATTTCAGACAGAAGGAATCACATGAACAAAGGATGGAGATTTGCAACTACATGCTGACTGTCAGAAACTACACAAATTTTATTATTACTCGGATGAGTGTGGGACAGGGGAAATGGGGCAGATGAGTTTGGAGTGGTAGTAGGTTATGAAGAGTTTTTGTAAGTCATTTAAGGAACTTGGCCTTTATCCTGTAGTTAATGGGAAGATGGCAGAGGGTGACATGATCAGAACTGAGTTTCAGAATGATCACTCTGGCTTCAGGGTGGAGATTAGATTAACGATGGAAGCACGCTTAAGTCAGAAAGAAGAATTAGGGCATAGTTACTATAGTGTTGGCAAAGGATGATGAGGGCTGGATCTAGGATCGAGGTAAGATAGATG